TTTTTATTAATCACAGCCGTCAGAATACGTTTAAAATAGTTTTGAGTAGTTAAAGTTTTCAAAATGGGTAGAGGAGAGGTTATTAGTGAGAAAGACTTATCGTGGTACAGTTTGAGAAATAGTGTTAGAAGATATAACGTAACTGGTTCAGTTAATATTAAGCCACGATATGTGAAAAAAAGTAATATCACAAATGCCGACCGAAGAGCATTAAGAAGAATAATCGTGAAAAACAGGCGTGCCAATTATTTACAATTAAGTGCTCTGTGGAGTGACGCTGTTGGAAGGAGAATCTCGAGGTCCACAACTCATAGAGAGGCCCACAAACTGGGATTTAGCACTTGCAAGGTAAGTTTTCTTATAAAAAAAATTAAATAAAAACCCTAAAGTTGCACAACTTGTTTATAGGCCAAAGAAAAGCCACTATGAACTCCACTGCAAAAGAAAAATCGATTTAGATGGGCTAAAGAACATAGAAAATGGACACCTCAACAGTGGTGTCCAATACAATGGAGGGATCAGGCCTGATTCGAAGTTTGTGTTGGTGACAGTCGCAGTAGAGTTATTCGCAAAAAAAAATGAAGCATTCCATGTTGACTGTCTGAAGAGAAAAGTGAAATTTCCAGCATCCATTATGGTCTGAGGCAGTATGTCATCAAAGGGAGTAGTTTATTGATGGAAATGTGGATACAAACAAATATTTGGCAATTTTAGAAGAATCGCTTTTATCAGTGATGGAAGAATGTTTGACAGCCGGCCAAGATTTCGTGTTTCAGCAAGATGGTGGGTGCAGCGTGCCGTACCTCAAAAAAGGCTATAAAATGGATGGAAATGGGTTTCTAGCAGTCCAGATGTGTCACCTATTGAAACTTTGTGGCACGAGATGAAAAAGGTTCTACGACAACATCCTGCTCGTACAATCACCGAACTGAGACAAAAGCTTCAAGAAATATGGGATTGTTTTACACAAAATTTTTGCCGAAACTTGGTTAACACTTTGCTCCAAAGAATTTCAGCCGTAATAAAAAATAAAGGTGATGTTACCCAATGGTAATCTTTCAATTGTTGCTTTGTTAACTTCGCGCATTTACTCGCAGATTGCTTATTTGTTCAGATGTTCTATTAGTTATAGGTCTAAGTGATTTCAAATATGTATTTTTTACGACTAGAGTGTTTTAGAAGTAAATAGTTTCGTCATGTTTAGTTTATAAAGGCATATTTTAGTACAAATCTTGAAGTGGGCCAACTGAAGTGGGAAGGGGATCGTATATCAACCTAATATTCAAAGAAAATTCTAAGTGTATTCAGATGGGCACCATCCTGGAATGGTGGGTCATGCAATACATAATTTTTTAGCTCCTTATAGGTTTTTACTTCCTATGCCAAAACTGGCGAGGAAGTATTGTAATTGCGAAATATTTCGAAATTGAGATATGTTTTTTTGATGTTATATGCCATATACATCATCAAAACCCATGTCATTCAATTCCGTCAGTATGTCTGTCGGCTTGCCTGCTAATTTTATAACCGTCTTGAGAAGTAACGCTCGGATTTTTAAGAAATTTTCACGCAATGCTACTACCATGCCAACGATTTGCAGTTTTTGAAAATCGGTCTTGTGGTGGCGGAGCTAGAGGTAAAAACACGAAAAAAAAATAAAAATCGCATAAACTTTGTTTTTTGACGTTTCAGAGGCTCTTGATCATTTTTGGAAATTGTTTTGTATGCATTGAGAGTTGTAGGGGGTATAGAGTTGTAAATGTAACGTTTTTAGTATTACTAAGATCTTTTGATCCCGATAACAACGAGAAAATTAAATAATAAAGGTCTCATGTAAGATGTGCTCAAACAAAAAACAATCGTTGACGTTGCGGGAACGGCACGGTGCTATGCTCGTGGAGACCAATCTATATATTTTAGCAATTTTATGAATGTGTTCAGCGTTCAGCGATCCTTTTGTTAATGATGACCTAACTGTTTTTATATCTACACTTACATTTTTCTGAATTTTACGATACTTAAACGTACCACCAATTTTATCCAACCTTTAATTTGCGTTACTCCCTCTATGATGGTTCTCTGAATAGTTCGTCAAGTAGATTGACTTAATACCTATGACGCGTTGATATACAACAGTCATGGACTGACAAACTGAAATAAATGAGAAACACGGACATGTGTAATACAGATATCGATAAGCAACAAAAAAGTAGTGAACCGAAGTTAGAATATTATCGTTAGAGCATAGTGGTATAACGTTTCAGTGATTCCTGCTGATTTTCAGACATTGTGTGGAGGGGAAGGAAATTGTAGGTTGGAAGATGTGTGCACCTGTTAGATATAATAAGTCATACATATTTTTCTACATCTGCCTTGGAAACAGAAATACGATAGATTTCCTCTATATAATTTAATATGCAGAGATCAAAGATTCATCGTACCTTAGTGAACCTACCTAATCACGTTTCAATTTCACCGTTTGAAGCGATTTGGCTTACCCCTTTTCTTTAAAACCTCCAACGAAGGCGTAGGACGTATAGAGTCAATATACTTGATCCCATTTTTTATACTGAAACAGCCTCTATAAGGAGGTTGGAGGCCCCTTGTTAAAACGATTTTTGATCTGCCTAAGGTTAATAATACTTAAATACCTAGAATTCAAAGGTCTCTCTCAGTGAATGTGAGGAACTGTCAGGATATCAAAGTTGAACGTTTTGTACATTAACTTTTATATAAATTCAATGGCCTATATCCTAGTTAGCCAAGCGCTTAGATAGCCATCGAGCACCATGGTTCCGTGCTCTTTTACACCTAAGAACATTTTGATTCAAAATGAAAGTAAATAAGGCGAAGGGTGACTCAAAGTTGAAGTTTCCGTCAAACGTTTTAGTTGCCCTTTAATGTTTTTCATTTCTACTATTGGGGCGGAAGTATTGTAATCGCGAAAAATTTCGAAAATGAGTCGTTATGTTTTGTGGATGCTATATGCCATGTACATCATAAAACCATGTCACTCTTTTCCGTCGGTCTGACAGTCTGCTATTCTTTGGAATCAGGAATTAGAATTTTTTCTCAGGGTTGATTTGAATCTTCACTCATCGGCAAGAGATAGTTTGTGTGAAAGCATACTTGCCTCTAAATGTTTAGAGCGGGGTGGCGTATTTTTATACTAGAGCATGCTAAATATGCAAATTTTTATTGTATGGGCCTGTTTCACGGACTTGATTCATTTAATTTTTTGGTAAACATGTTCTACCTACTCCGAATCCATTGGTTTCATCTACAGGGTGTCCCAATATTCCGTGAACATAGATGCATCACGTATTTTTAGACTTAAAGTAAGTCGATTGGGCATGATTCACCTTCATGCAAAAGTGCTTCGTTTATCCGTTAAAGAGCGTCAATGTATTTTTTTTAAAATACACAATTTTTGAACACACGTGCTTCACTAGACGTCGTAATATTTCACTTTTACAAAAAACCCGAAAGTGCTCGAGCATGGTGGAAACTACCCCAACCCCTACATATATAGGATGGGCCAAGAATTCGTTAACATTTAAATCTAATACACCACGCAAACAGATGACGCGCGAAGAGCGGGGAGGGGGCTAGTCAAAGAAATGTTTCCGGAAAGCTCATTTCCAGACAAGGCGACATCCCATGGCCACCCAAAAGTCCAGATCTATCCCCACCAGACTTTTTTTAATAGGGTTATTTAAAGAGTCGTGTCCCAACCAAGTACACTCCGTCAACTAAAAGAAAACATCAACGAAGAGATGTCGGTGATGTCGTAGTCTTTATGCCGACGAGTATTCGAAAACTTCGGTACACGTTTAGAACAGTGCAAAAATCATTTAGATGATATGGTTTTCAAGAAATCAATTCCAACTAATTAACTTTCTTGTGAATAAGCAATTTTTAAAATATGTCAAATGTTGTTTTTTTCATACGATTTTTTCAAATGTTAACTAATTCATGGCCCACCCGTTATTATAGCAGAATTTTTTCTTCATTTTCTGTCTCTTATAAAAACAGGCTGTGAGACGGCCTACTTTTCGAGAAGAAAAATGTTTTTCAAATCGTGTTTCTAAAAAATTTTATCATTACATCAAGGAACGAAAATGGTGGTCGTATTGAACACATTGTATGCCCTTATTGCCTGTATTAAATAAAATTGTAATAAGTAATATGATACTTGGTAATTTTAGCTAACTTCACTCAAATAATTAATAAGATGCTTGAGAACCTCTTGATGCGACTCAGTTTTTTGTCATAAACTATCCGAGATGGCACGTTTTTAACAAATAACAAAGATCTACTGAATAAGGAAATATCAGGACATTTGGGGAAGTTGGCAAAAAATCTGCTGTAATTTATATAGGGGTGGGAGTAGTTTTCATTCATATCAAACCCTTTAGAGTCTTTAGTAAAAGTCAACATTGGGATGTCTAGCGGAACATGCGTGTTCCAAATTTCATGAAAATCAGTTCTTGAATCATCTTAAAATGTGTTTTAAAAGAACTTTAACGGACAGACGAGGGGCTTTTGCATTGAGGAAAGTCATGTCCAATCGAATTATTTTGATCTAAAAGTACGTGGTACTTCTATGTCCACGGAATATTTGTTAGATCCAACTAAAATTGCCATGGCGAGCGACGTGTGTCTACGCTGCTCTGACAATTTTATTGTAAATTCGAGGTTTATTACGTGAGAAAATTGTTCTAATCGCCTTCACTACGTTTGTACGGCGGTTAAGGATGAAATGTGCAAAGTTATCAGCAAATCTGATAGTGTTTTTTGGTTTTGTGATGCCTGCAAAAGGTCAGTGAAGGAAAAACTACACGGAGTGCAAAGTGTTAGCTCTCCCGTATACGCAAGGAAATCGCCACTGATGTCGACCTAATTATCTGCAAAAAGGAGCCGGAGTACATTTCCCGTGAGAAACATCTTCTTCAAAAAATGATGAATTTGAGTTTACCACTAATTTGCTGAAATCTAAGGTAAGCGACCTTGAACATCAACTGTTTTCGAACAACATCGAAACCAAAAGTACACCCAGCTATAGCAGTGTTTTGAAAAAACCTGCCGTCAGTGACTCATCTGTTCTCCTTATTGAGTCCAAGGATGGTGTTTCTAATAATAATGTGGTGAAATCGCTCCCTGCATCTATCAACCCTGCCAACCTCAAAATCTGCATCGACAAGACTAAACTAATAAAGAATGGGGCTGCTGTGTACTGCAGAAGTGAAAGCGATCGTATTAAATTGGAAGAAGCATTAAAAACCAGTTTAGAGTCCAAATATCGCATCAACCCGTCGAAAAAACTGAATCCTCGCTTAATTATAAAAAATGTGTGCATCAGTGAAGATTTAGACTCGGATGAAAAGTTAATAAACAATATATTCTCCTTGAACGATGTTGGTGAACATCTAAAATCCGATGTAAAAGTAGTCATCAAACTGAAAGATCGCCGAAATGACAAATTTTACAATTATGTTCTGGATGTTCCCCAGCACTTCATAAAAAATTAGTTAATGTTGGCTTTATTCATATAGGGTGACAAAGATGTTCTGTTAGTAACCACTTAAATATTATTCAATGTTTCAACTGCTTTTCTTTTGGTCACTTTGCTAGTAGATATAAATCCGACACTGTCTGTTCTAAATGTTCGGACAATCATTTTACAAGGGCATGTCTTGTGTTCTAACTGTGTAAGGTATAATAATAGGTATATAGCCAAACTATGTACTGATCATCAAGCAACTGATAAAAATTGTGCCGTTTATCAGAATTATATAACTAGCTTACAAAACAGGATAAGTTATGGTTAGACAAGTTATTACTGAGTTTATTAGGTCATCTCAACGTACGTTCTGTTTTCTCCGATTTTGATGCTGTCAGTGAACTTATTCGATTTGATGACTTTGATATATTTGCTATCAGTGAAACTTGGCTTACAGATCTCATTCCGTCAGAGTCTGTCAGCATCGCTGGCTATAACTTTATCCGTAAAGACAGAGGATTACGTGGTGGTGGGATTGGTATTTATGCCAAATCTTTTTTAAATGTAGAGCTTCTTGATGTGGCAGTTAGCGATCTTCAGTGCTTGGAGCACTTATAGATTAAGATTACATATAAAAAATCTATTTTTGTTGTTTGTGTATTGTATCGACCTCCATCCCAGAGCCTCAATGACTGCATTGCTATACTTCCAATTATCAATTATTGCAATATTCTTTACCAGCCTTGCTTGGATCAGCTCACTAAAAGACGTTTACAAGTGATTCAAAACAACTGCCTCAGATTCACGTGTAGTTTAAGAAAATACGACCATGTTAGCCATGCTTACAACAGTATTCGATGGATGAAGCTCGATCGAGTGTTTGACAAATTTTCATTATTTGGTCTTCCTGCATAAGCTGCTCGCATCTGTTAAACCCAAATACCTAAGAGAAAAACTTATTTTTTCTAATGAAATACATAACAAAACTCTTAGATATACATTAAATATTAGAATACCCCATTACGTCACCTCGCTTTTCCAATGCTCATTTTCCTATAATGCTGCTAGTCGCTACAATAATATTCCTGATGATTTACAGATATAATGTTTCTTCTTTATCTAATTTTTGTTAATAATACATTTATAAGTTAGTTTATGGGCACATATGCTTGTAGGAATTTAAATTAGTTGCTTGTTTGATTGAACTGCTTCCAGTACTATTATGACATTGTAATAGCCAAACTTTATTTTTTTTTTGTCTCTCCTGTACCATTTTTTTTTTTCATATTCATATGGTTAAGTGTAAGAGTAGCTTTAGCTAAACTTCGCCATAATGAATCGCACTCTGTATCTTTGTAAATAATGACGATATTATTATTATTATTATAATTACATCCTGGATAAGCAGCTACACTACTGCTGTCACCCAGTAATCTCTATGATGATAAGTTAGGATAAGCCTAATGGGATTTAAAAAAAGCCTCGGGAAAAGTGCAGTAAAAGGCACAGCTCATTACTTTTACACCTACCCTGGCAAGACCCCATGTGGTTTGGAAGATGAGTACGCCCTCAAGAACTAAGTGTGTTATAAAGTACCTCGTCCTTAGTTGTGCTGCCCCTTTTTTGTAGATTACAGTTTCACACAATAATTATTAAGGTCTTTCTGCCTTTGGTTCTTTATTGAGGAAAAGTGACTATATATTTACTAGCGAAGTTCAGTGTAGGATTTTACGATGAAATTTTTTTCTGTGGGGAGAATTTTAAAATAAACTGAGTCAAACGTTAGGATGGTGATGATCGTATCACGAAAATTCTCGGCCTACTATATTTTTGATCAAAAAAACAAAATTTTACATTTTTTATGTATATAAAATAACTAAACGGTTTGACCACAAACGGCACTCACAGTAACCTCCTACTGACCAGGGTGAAGGGTCAGTTAAATGTCAGTTTCAGGCGAAATTTCGAACTCAACGAAGTAAGTAATCAGGTATCTGGGACTAGACTATCATGCTTATATTTTGCAGTCGATGAGTTCGAATCTGAGATCAGATTGCTAGTTTATCGGTTCATGCCACCAAAACGGCATTTCGGGACTGAAAAGACAAGGGAACCTTACTTTCGAATATTACCTTGATCTTAACTACAGCTTTCAATGTCATTTGAAGGTCAAATAAAGACGAAAAAAAATTGCTCTAGCAAAAATATTCGACAGCATAGTTGTATGGATTGTGTGTGTGTGGATCACCAGAAGGTGACCTTAACCAATATTTCCAAATTATTCATATATCTTCGTAGTGGAAATGGAAAAGGCAGAAAATTTCCCGTTCAAACGTGACCTTGATCACAAATAACATTCAAGCTTGACGACCTTAACTTTGGAGTCAAGGCCACATTATGACGTGAAATCACCTGCTTTTTCTATTTCCATTGTCAACATGAGAGGTTTGTACTTCTGGAAATTTTTAGTTGACCTTGATTATGGTCAAGGTCACCTTTGAGTATTCCCTCTAAGCTTCATAACTGTATTGTCGGAAATTCATGTTAGAGCAAATTATTTTAGATGTCTTTGACATTGGAATAGTCTTGAATGAGTTCAAGCTCAAGGAGGGGGTTCCATTTGAAAATATTGTCAAGGTCACCATCATTTCTCCCTTTCGAAACGATACAAGTTCATTTGAGGCTTTTTCTCTAGGATGCGTTGTTTTCGAAATGTTTAGGTGTATGGAAGAATAGACGGTATCTAGCGGTCACGCACGCCTCACAAATGGCGGTAGGATGTTGAATTCTTTTTGTCTCTTCTTGTAATTGGGTATCTTCAAATGGAATACGTTAATTAATGTCTAAAGGTACTCAACCAGATTATTAGCCTTCAAACTCCAAACCTTTTTTTCATACCCCGAATAATTCGCAACCATGATGTAAACAAACACACCGACGCCAGACATATCAAACTTTCATAACTGGATTTACAGACTGCGTGACTGTCACAAGGTCTTTACGTCTGTATCTGGAATGATTTGCCCGTATATTGCAGCCCTGACTCTGAGAGTTGCGAGGATGCAAAAAAGAACCCCAAGCCTCGAATAATAAATCAAATTAGCTCGATACCGAAGGTGGAGTTAATGAAGTAAACAAGCGGGAGTAGCGCGATCCTATTTTGAAGCAAAAAGTGAAAATGACTTTTGTTTTTGGCCTTGATAGTTGATACTGTTATGGAAATTGATCGGTAGGTTAAGCGTAGAAAGCGATTGGTCAGAAGAATTAAGATTGATACATCTCTAATCAATAACTTATTAAGGATATATTAGTATCGTATTTCGTATAGTTCACGACAAATTCATGTCTATTCACATTTTTTTTGTTTCTTTCTGATACTGATACGCGTATAAAATGGTCATTATGTGATAGTGGTGCAAATGATATTGAAAGTTGAGCAATGTGCAATACAATTATTATAAATATAATTGAATGTAGTGAATTTAAAATAAGACGCATTGTTCCGATGTGGTCATAGCAAAAAATTCAATTAATTTGGCTGTGCTATAACTTTACAGAAGCTGGCCGGTGCTGCCAAACGACGTACAGAGGAGCCGCATTCTCGAAAAAAGACAATATAAGTTTGTCGTGAACAGAACCTTTTTTACATCGAGTATATCAATACAGGGAGTCCTGAAAGTTGACTTTTCTTGGCAGACACAACTACATTTGTAATAGCAAAGCTAATATGTGCTGGAACAACAGCAAAAAGGAAACCTGAGTAACATTTCGAAGATACCGTACACTAAAATTTTTCCAATATTACTGTATTACAGAACCGATGTGTAAAGGTTTTGTTTACCAACGCTGTCAGCGCTCGGATTGAGTACTGATGCGCATCGTACGTGTTTACGCTTGATCTGATCGAGGTGCAGGATCGGATTAGGTTTTGTTTAGGTTTGATTTATTTTGCGGAGCCTAACATCTGAGTAATCTTAAGACTTGTATATGTGTATATGTTATTGAAAAAACTGCTCATTTTTTTAAAATCTGTACGACGTGTAAGGAAAAGACCCAACGTTGTATCTTTGATCTGACTCGGCCATCCATCGAAGCCGTATGAGTCCTAGAGCACTTTTTTAGTCAAGGTACAGTACCATGTTTTGGAAGCAGCAAGCTGTACCAGACTGTTGCGCACCCAAGTAATCACTTTCAGATCTCTTGTCAGAGACAAAGTTGCTGGTAGTCTTCTTATCTCCAGCTCACCGGCAGAGAAGGGCTTGGCATTCTGAATGTTTGCATGTAGAGTGCTGTCATTGCAAAGCTGTAGACCGGATTTACCCTACAGGAGAGGAGGTCGTCGATATGTCATAGAAACAATGTTCTCTAGAAGGTTTTGGTCTGGTAGCTTACATGGTTGCAATGGTAGTGGGCCTCACCATACGACTGGATAAGTTTACTTGACAGTCGGCTAGGAGATGCCGGTCGCTGGTGCGGGAACCCTGTTGGTAATCAAGCCGTGAAGGTCGAGATAATATAGAAGCTTTTGATTTATGCTCTTCTCCACAACCTTGCTGATAACAGAAATCAGAGTTATAGATCTGTAGTGATAAGGGTCGGTCTTAGTTCCTTTTTCGGACGGGCTGGATATGATCAAATTTTTAGCTGCACATTTCTTCAGTATAAAAGCAGGAATCAAGTCAGGACTAAAAGCTTTGTTGATGTCGAGCGGCCTGTCTTACTGTCTTATGCCTGAAGCTTACTTCCCGCATAGTTTAGGGAATCCTTGTAATCGATGACACTCGGGCGTGGACGGCGACGTTCATGATGGAGTTGGCAGCAAAGATCTTGACAAGTGCTTCCATCTTAGCCTTTGAGTCGTTACAATCGTTCCATCCTGGCAC